CGTGGAGCAAATTTAGTGCGCATGGCAGATAAGGTGCAGCATAGCATAAAGTCCCAAAGACTCTAAGTTGATCAAATACTGGCTGTACCTTATAAAGCAATTCGAAGGGAGTCTTCCCATGGAGATTAGGAGTACTAACTCTATTAATCAAATAAGTTGCATGTAAAATGCAATAAGACCAGAATTTCAGTGGGAGCTTTGATTGAAATAGCAATGATCGAGCAACATTCAAAAGATGTTGATGCTTTCTCTCCACCACTCCATTTTGCTCTGGAGTCTGAACACAAGAAGTTTGATGTAATATTCCCTTCCCAGCATAGAAGGAACTCATCATGAACTCAGCACCATTGTCAGTACGAAGTGCTTTGACCTTTGTGGTGAATTGAGTCTCAACCATAAGAATGAAGTTTTGCAAGTGGAGGCGTGTCTCTCCTTTGTTCTGCATTAAAATGATCCAAGTATACTTGGAAAAATCATCAACAATTGTCAAGAAATACCTTTCTCCATTAATAGAAGAAGTAGAAAGTGGACCCCATATGTCTGCATGAATCAATGCAAATGGTATTTCTGTGATGGTGCAACTGTTTTTGAAAGAAAGTTTTCGTTGTTTTGCAAAGTGACATATATCACAAGGGGTAACAGATTTATTACACTTGATAAATGAAAATCTATGACACATGTCAGACATAACAGAATCTGAGACATGTCCTAAACGATAGTGCCAAATTAAAGATTCATCTAATGCAGTATTGAAAGCATAGTTATTTGCAATATCTGCAACACTTGCTCCTTGTTTCTGGTCCTCATCCGTTGAGATGCCACCTTCCATCATCACAAAAAGACCTTTGTGGAGCTCAGCTATACCAATCACTTCCCCGGATGGAATCTGCTTTATAAAACAATTTGAACCACCAAATGTAAGCTCACAAGGTAATGTTGCTAGTAATTTTGTCACTGATATCAAATTCACAGTGAACTCAGGAACATATAACACATCATAAAGTTCTAAGTGGTTTGATAACAATACAGTTCCTGAATAATTGGCTGTGGCTCTATGACTATTTGGCAGTATGATTGCAACTGGATCAACTTTCTTGAGTGTTGAAAAGCAAGAAGCAAAACAACATATGTGGTCAGTAGCTCCCGTATCAATAATCCAACGGTTAAAAGCCTTACCAGAAGAGTTGGTGTTGAAAGCTGCACTCTCCTTGGATTGGACGAAATGTGCAGCTGCAACATGATTGTTATCCTCAATTCCAACATTAATCTTTGGCTGATTCATCACATCAAGGAAGCTTTGGTATTCTTGCTGAGAAATTGATACCATGGGATCTCTCATCCCACTAGTTTCTTCAGATCCTGCAATAGTTGCATTAGCTGAAGTAATCTTCCCTCTGCCTCTGAATCGTGGAGGGAACCCGTGCTTAGCATAGCACGTTTCTACTGTGTGGTTGGTGCGGCCACAATATGTACATAGCCTTACACCTCGTCCACGTCCTCCTCTTCCTCTGCCAAATGGAGCTCCACGACCATAGCTTTGGATGCCATCACGAGTATTTCCGTCACGAGCATAGTTTCTTTGCTGTTCAGTCACAGCATATGCTTTGGATGCAGCATTCATTTCTCCAGAAACTTCAACATTCATTTGACGTTCTTGCTGAATGACTAACGAAAACGTCTTGTTCAGATTTGGCAAAGGATCTATCATCATTATTTGAGATCGAACTTGAGAAAATTGATCATTAAGGCCTCTTAAAAACCTTATTATCTGATCCTGTTCTCTACATTTCTTGAGTTTATCGGATGCTCCACAAGTACAGTTTGGTAATGGTTGGAGATTCTCTAATTCATCCCAAAAAGTCTTGAGTTCAGTGAAAAATTCACTTACTGATGTATCTCCTTGATGAAGACGATGAATGTCTTCTTGCAGATCTGCAATTCTGAATATATCAGAATGAGAAAACCGTTCCTCAAGACTCTTCCATACTTCATGAGCCTTTTCTATCCAAAGAATGGATCTGCCAATAGTAGGCTGAATAGATCGATGCAACCAAGACAACACCATAGTGTTGCAACGATCCCATGCCTGAAAGGTTGAGTCGTTTTCTCCTGGAATGGTGAACGTTCCATCAACGAAACACAACTTATTCTTGGAACGCAGCGCCATCTTCATCGCACGTAGCCAGGTACTGTAATTCTTGCCATCAAGAAGTTGACTTACAAGCATCAGTGATGGATTTTCACTGGAATGCAGATAGAGAGGATTCGAGGGATTTGTCAAGAAATCTTGGAGAGAGCTCTGGTTCGCCATTGAAGAAGGATTCTCCATGAAAGTGAAGCAGGGAACCAGAAAGAAAATAGAAGAGAAAAGCGATACCAGAGCTCTGATACCATGTGAAATCCCATTGAAACAGAGAGAGAGTTTTGTGAATTCATGATCAATCTCATATCAGAAGAATAACAGAATGAAAAAATTGATTACAGTAAAAGCTAAAACTCAATACTTATACATAGCTACTTCCGAGAATTAAGCTAACTCACCGAAACAGAAAAACAGAAAAGCTAACTCTTCTAACTGATACAACTAACTGATAGAAAGCTCAATGAGGATAAATACAAAATTACTCAATAGCTGTAATAATGAGTGCTCTTTATGGCTCAAAAATACTTAATAAGGCAATATGTGGAGGATGATCCCTCATAAAGGATATACAATGAAAATTATGGGGAAGAAATAGATACACATAGAATTGTGTTGTTTTTTTTAATTTAAAATAATTTTTTTTCCATATATATATATATATTTGGGCCATTTTTCTTTGTGATATATATAGGGAAAAGTTCACCAATGTTCTTGTGCTTTGCTCCAGAATCATTTATGTCCCTGTGGTTTTTTTCCTATCACATTTGTCCCTGTGCTTTGTAAAAAATAAGAAACCACATGGGTATATGTGATAAAAAACATACCTTTTTACAAACCACAGGGTCATAAGTGATAAGAAAAAACCACAGAGGCATAAGTGATTCTGAAGTAAACCACAGGGGCATTGGTGAACTTTTCCCCCATATATATATATAGGGTTTGTTTTTTCTGATGTTACTTTAGATAACTTTATCTAATGTTCATCAAAACGATGTCGTTTTGGGACGGAAATCATGGTATTTTTATAATTTTAATTTATTTTAGGGTTATAATAGTCTTTATCACTCTAATTTTTTAATTTTTCAACTAATAAACAACATCGTTTCGATGAACATTAGATAAAGTTATCTAAAATAACATCAAAAACTTTTTTCTCATATATATATATATATTTCACAAGTGATGATCGTGGGTGAAGGAGAGAAGATACTAGATTGTGGGTCTATGGCCCACATCTCGTGTTGGTGGGCTCATACCTTAGTCGGGTGTTATTTTCGTATATGGAAGACCCAACTCGGGTCCGGGTTTGCCAGGCGTCATCCAAGATCTTCCCCAAAACAGTTTGGAAAATTGATTCATAAACGGCTTAAAATTGATTTAGAATCAATTCGCAATCGGTTCAAATCCAGTTTGCCTGCTTGTGCTGAATTTTTAATTATTTATTTTCTAATTTACATAATTTACTAACTAGTAAATTAAGAAATAAATTAACCCCGAATCAGTTCTAAAACATAAGATGGTTCTTAAATATGAACCGGCTGTGAACTATTCCAAATTGATTTAAAACAAACAAAACAGTTCAGTTTGAAACGTTTTAGACCAATTCAGTTCTATTCAGAAAAAAAAAAACCGTTCGGATGAAACAAACCCGGCTGTGGCATGGCCCTTTTTCTTTTGGGTAATTATAGCATGGGCCCTTGGCCTTTGTTGGTCGCTAAAATGGTAAGGGAAAAGTAGCCAAAAAGCATCAAATGTCTAGCTTTCTGTAATGACTTTAGGAAAAGTTAGGTAAGATTACACTGGAAACCTCTTGAAATATTTGTGGTGCTGTTAGTCAAGTGCAGCCATGCATCCTTTTGCAATTGGTGTATTGTACAACCGAGTATGGCTCGTCGTGCGTTGTGGCAGACAACAAAATCCTTAGATACAGTCCTCATTCTAAACCAGCAACCTTTATGTTATGAGCCGGTATCTAGAATGCTGGATCCTCCTGGTTGATCAAGTCTTAATAGAATTGTTCCACTGACATTTTACTCCTTGCAGAGAGATGTTGACAGTAGTGTTGAGAGTGTGTACCTATCAGAACATACCAATGCCTAAGTCCATTCAAATTGAGGGGACTATTGTATGGGTAAGAACACCCAACTCAAGAAAATGTGGGAAGAGATCTAGAGAGAAATATGATTTTATAGGCTAGAAGTTCAATAAAATAAGCTCGCAAAAATGGGTAGTGTGTTTTGCAGGCTAGGCTTAGTGGAGTAAATAAGGCCGTTTATCTCAACAGTTTTCCTAAGATTGCTACAAAATAATAGGGGAAGAGGGTGAGTATAATCTCAGCGAGTCAAACTTCTTCGTTGTGTGATGGCTACTAGGCTTTGTCCAAGGTTACCAGTCTAGAACAACTCCAAGGCATCACTGCAACAATAGCTCATAATTCATAACCCATTGTTCCAATCATTTCTTTATTTGTGATTAGTCCAAGATAATTCTCCTCCAACTTTTTGATTGCATATACAAAGCGTTCAATTAGACAAAAACTTGCAGATACAGAACATGGTGGAAGAAAAGAATCACACACCTAAACAGAGGTGTAACCAAACACCAAATACACAATATATTTTGTGTTCATAGTATCAAACAAATAAATTAAAGTATCAATTCATCGAAAATAAGTATCAAACAAACTCATAGTAAGAAAATTAAATAACCAATGCAAATAATTCGGAGCACAACCAAAATTATTTTATTTAAAATGATATGTTCTCTCTATTGGTGCCCAAGGACATGCTTAAAGAATCACAATGGAGTAGGAGAATGCAAATGCATATAAACGAAAAGAAAAAACCAATATGGAAAATGAGAATCCCAGAAATTCTGATTTCCTTTTATATTCATAAAAAATGAAAAGTTTAGATTTGAATGACACGTGTTTAGTGGTGAAAATAAGCATTATTTAAACTCAAACTTGTTATTTATATGACATAAATTTCCTGTGGGATGCGTTTGATGATCCTATAAATAGCCATCCTTCCTGTCTTGATCCTCGGCTTCCTTGTTGGCAGCTTGAACAGACTTGAACCATAGGAAAGCCTATATTAAATTAAACATTAATTAATTAAGTCATTAGGATTAAGCTAATTTAGATTTCTGAAGATGAGTTGTTAGCTGAAAGTAGTTACCGAAGAGGGAATGCCAGTGAAGGCAAAAAAGCCAAGCAATGGAGCATAAAACACACTGTCCGTGCTCAAAACACCGAACACTGGCCTTTGGTTCACATACTCAAAAATGGAACCTATCTGTTCATATATATAAGTAAAGGGTGAATGAGTAGCACGAAAACAAAAGAAAAGGAGAAAGCATAGTTTAATTAAATTACCGCGGCAATTGCGGTGATGGCGGAGGCAAGTAGATAAACAAAGAAAGGGATCTGAAATCCTTGTTGCGAAGCATTGTTATTGGGTTCATCCCGAGCCCATGGTGGAGGTTCATCCGAATCTGGCTTGGCCCACGAAGGAATCGTTTCCTCGGACTTGTTTGAGTCAGCAGAGCCTTGTGTGACAGCCACAACCGCAAACCCATTCAACTTCTTCATCCCATTACTAAACATCTTCTGAGGACCACCCACACACGACCTGGGTTTCGAAGCATGTTGGCAATGTATGGCACATAACGGTGATGACAATAATGTTGCAGCCATTCCTTCCAGCTCTATAGTTAAACAACAATACTAAGAAACAGACGACATCATTTGATTATGTAACATAACAATAACAAGAACAAGAACAAGAACAACCAAGTTGTTTATGTTTAGAGGCTAGAGCTGAGGAATTGCATAACGGATTGGGGTTATGTTCACAGCCAAGCAAACCTTATCCATAAAATTGGGTTGTTATTGGTTATGGGCCATTTGACAAAATTTGGAGGCCAGTTAGAATAGTGGGCCTGCGAGGCCCAGAGCAGGAGAAGGTGAAAAGCGTGAAATTTTTTTGAAATTGGGAACGAAAAGTGTTTTCCCACGCAACGTTGAGCGGTAATTCAAAGTTCAAACGAAACGTAATCGACATTTAATGACGTGATATGATATGAATGCATTCCATTCTACTCCTTTGGATCTAATCTTCGAAAATCAAACTACGCACTACTCACTTCGTACTTTCTCCGTCTTCCACCACTCTCTCTCTCTCGTTCTCTCTCAGGTATCGCTCACTTTCTGTCGGTGAAATTTGTTCTTTACAACCAGGAAACATGCTTCCAGAATTTTTTTTTTCTTTTTTGTAAAAAGTCAAATATATCCTTACCTTCTAAAAACTGCCTTGTACCTTTTGTTATTTTTCTGAGATCTTTCTTTTCTTTTTTTCACTTGTAATCTTTCGTTAACTTACACCTGTTTCTGGCTTCACATGCCTCGATTATTTTTCTGTTTTGAACTCTTTTTTTTTTTTTTTTTTTAATAATTATTGTTTCTAGTTTTCGCCACAAGAAGTCTTGGTTTGGTTTCCGTGTTCCTTTTCCTGAAACACTGATATTGAAGTGTGTAGTTAAGAACTGAGCAATGGCGGGAAAAGGAGGAAAAGGGCTTTTGGCAGGGAAAACCACCGCGGCTAACAAGGACAAAGATAAGGATAAGGATAAGAAAAGACCCATTTCACGGTCATCCCGTGCCGGAATTCAGGTAACTATTTTTCTTTCCCCTTCTCTTTCCGCCGTACGTTACCAACTCATTCTATTTGTGTAGTTTTCCATTCTCGACGGTTGCCGCGCCTCTATTTCTTCCTTCCTTTATTTATTTGTGGTTAGAGAAAATGGGGTGGGGGCGATCTGGAAATTTAAGATTAATTGTTGATACCCAAATGCAATTGAACTACAAACTCAGAACCTTTAGTTTGACGTATAGGAAAAATTTGCCATGTAGTTAATTCTTGATGTATTGCTTGTTTCCTGCGTGAAATTTAATTTATTGGACTATTGATTTTGTAAGGTCAAATTGTTGGCTTTTGGGCCTCTATAATTTCTATGTAATCATCTCAAGTGGGTTTTTGAATTGTTGGAGAACTTTGCGGTTTTTGTAGGACCTATTTTCGTCCCTTTTTTTTTTAATTTTTTTTTTCCTATTTTCCTTTATGATTTTGAAATTGTGTATTTGCATGGGTGTTTGTAGTTTCCTGTGGGCCGTATTCATAGACAGCTGAAGCAAAGGGTCCAGGCCAATGGACGAGTTGGGGCCACTGCTGCTGTATACTTGGCCTCCATTCTTGAGTATCTCACTGCAGAAGTTCTTGAACTTGCTGGGAATGCAAGCAAAGATCTCAAGGTTAAGAGGATAACACCAAGGCATTTGCAGCTTGCTATCAGGGGAGATGAGGAGCTTGATACCCTTATTAAAGGGACCATTGCTGGTGGTGGTGTCATCCCTCACATTCACAAGTCCCTCATCAACAAAACCGCTAAGGAATAAAATATTTGCTTCTGATTGAATATTTCATATGGCTGTTAACCGAAAACTAGGTTGTGTTTAGTTTTATGACTTGATCGCAGTAGGGGGAACATGATTTCTTTGACAGTCTATTTGGAACTGAGATGTTAGGTATGTAGATGGTTGTAGTTTTATGTGTTCTTTTAACTGGTTTAATTGGTCTGTCTTAAAGTTGTAATGGAGTTGGATTGTCAGACAATGTTTTCTTTTAGACACTGTCTGTGATTTGTTTTGCCTTTATCGTTCATTTCCTTCTTTGATATTTGGTTGTTTTATTTTAATCTTTGCTATGGTTTGGTTATCCGTTGATTACTGTATAGAAAACTTGGCTATGATGAAGTTGAAAATAGTTGAAATAAAAATTATCGATTGAAAATTTATGTCTTAACTATGAAAAAAGTTGACAAACTACAGAATACTATTAACAAAGGGCTTTATTAGTCTTCAATAAAGTGCAAGGCTGCATTAAAAATGAGTATACATGCAGAGCTAGCCAAGTAATCTTTTAGATTTCTAAATTCACAATTATCTTCAATATGGTACATACTTTTTTTTATAGTATGTCAATCTCATTATTATTACAGCAATAAACGTTGGACAATATACAAAAGAATTATATTTATAAACTAAATTTTAAAAGAAATTCAAATAGAAATAAAATTAAAAATGAAAGTAATATATAAGAAAACTAAAAATGTATTCTAACAATGAAAGGATTATATAAAGTTTCCGATTCGTTTATAAATAAATTACCCTTACATAATCTACACTTATTTCATTTAAAACAGAAAAGAAATAGTGAAATACAACTTGTGACTAAGAAGAAGATAGAAAGAATTAAATAATCAGAGAATTATTATCCATTGCATCATCATCTTGGGGAGAAGTCCACAAGACCATAAGACAACAAAAGAGCATCAAACAGCCCCAATACTAGAATCAGGTGCATGACCTTTATATGAAGATGCTTTTCATTCGCTTTGTTGTTATATAAGTCCCTCTTATCCTTCCATTCCCTTATTGTCTCTCGCACGTGAAACTTTTAATACTCACAAATGGATGCAAGAATGGTGGCACAGAGCCAGAGTCCAACACTAACTTTAGTTCATAGGAACCTCAGACTTAAACCAAAACACCCTTCCGTGGTTGCAGTTCTTACAAGACCTACAGATGACATTGCAGGAGAAACAAGAAAAACTAACGTGTACAAAGATAAATGGTTCGATCACTTAGCCATAAACCATTTATCAAAAAGTGTTCAAGCCTCATCAGGTTCTTTCCCTTTTATCCCTCCAATTGTAATTGATCATCTCAAGGATATTAATTTGTATTTTTTCATCTTTCTTCACTTTTGAATCCTATGAAGGACTCAGTAACAGTAAGAGTGGGTATGAGAGCCTCGTAGAGGCAGCTACCGTGGCTTCACAGAAATTTAGTCCTATTCAACAGCGAGAAGTTGTCATTCAAGCACTTAATATAGCCATCCCAAATCCCATACCTTTATTGGTGAGTTCATCAGTCTTTCGGTTTGATCTTCTTCTTGTGCTTTCTCTCATACAGACAAAATTTACCACTTTTTTCATAACCTTTGGTATTATTAAATTTGAGTTATGACAGTTTACTAACCAAAAATGTTCAAGAAATTTAATAGAAAACCATTAAAATGACATTCATTTAACATTTTGAGTTTTTATACGAAATTATTATTTAATATGATAATATCTAAGTGAATAGAGTTTGATTCTCACCGTCACATTCTTATACTAAATATAAGTTTTAATGCGTTTTTTTTAACTTTCCTTGTCTTTTCTTTATTCTAATTTTCAATGCTTGAGCATAATAATTATCAGCAATGACTATGTTGTTATGCATGACCAACGACAGATAAGGACACTGCTACCACCATCTAAATTCGCAAGGGAATATTTTGCCGTCTTCACAACTATGTTCTTTGCTTGGTTAGTCGGACCCTCCGAGGTAAACACCTAAGACTATATAGTTCTATTGTTCACGACTTTATATATTACTTGGATGTCATTTTCCATTATTAACAAAGGAAATTGTGAACATCTCGAGGAAACTCATTGTAAAACCAGTAAACCTTGTCTTCCACTAGGGATAATATTGAAATTTATGGTATGCATGTTGGTGATTAAACCGGTGTCTATATGGAGTCCATTTATGTTGACTCAAATAATTATTGAAAATGATTACAATACTGGAAACACATATTACAAGGGATAATAGACTCTCAAGATATAAATTGGAGATAGTAATCTCCTACCATAGACATAATTTTAGTATGTCCTGCAATTAAAAAAGAAAAGAAAATGAAAGCTCAAATTTCTATGGATGTGTGGCATGATTTTCAAAAGATTTATGGATCTGTATATATATCCGAAAAGTGTTATACAATAATTAAAAAAAATATTTACAAGCTACCAAAATTGTTGCAAATAGAATTAAGATTTATAATTTGGTGCCTACATAGGTGATGACACAAAAGCGGGATAAAGAACAAAATTAATATCATCTTTCAGGATCCGTTGTCAGTCTCAGCGAACCCAATTTGTCACGTGTTATTTACATAAGGACCTGTTGTCATAAATAATAAATCCAAAGATTATTGTTTCTAACAACAGGTCTCTGTTTACTCGACACGTGACAAACAGACTGTGTCTGCTTGGAACATTGTCATTCCGCCCACTATTTACTTAATTAGTGGACAGTGTCATTCGCACATCATGTCCCATTCTAAGTTTAATAAGACATGATGAATTGTTGTTGATGTAGATTCAATCATTCAAATGGATATTAATTGTCAACTATGTGAGTAGTGCAGAGTTTTAGTTCATTTCATCAAGATTGGAAGTTGAAACACAACATCCTATGGGTCCTATGGGGAGCACAACAGATTGAATAAAATTTAACAAAAGGATGGTGGAAGGATAATATAAAATTGCCTTACCATTGATTCATATTGTAGACATCATGCAATATGACGGAATCATTAAAGCAATCACTTCTAGATTTTAGCATACACACACACATAAACAAATAACCTAACGGAGAAACGTATGCATATATCCTTTTACTTTCTAACCTATGTTATAGTTCATGAATTTAAAGGATTAACCCCATTTGTTTCACCATGTAAAGGTAAGAGAATCGGAGGTCAACGGGAGAATAGAAAAAAATGTAGTCTACATAAAAAAATGCAGGTAAGTTTTAGCTTTCATTTCTATTTTAACTTTTTATCTTTAACAGAAAATTGTTCGCAATTCACCAACCTAAATACACACTATGGCCTCAAACAATATGCTCCAATTATTATGCTCCACATCCAATTCTCTATTCGCATTATGACTATCATGATCACCATCTAAGTTATTGCCAATACCAAAATCATGACTATTATATTCATCATTCTCACCATTGCATCCAAGCAACCTAACATCTTCCCCTTCCTCGCTCTAAAATTTAATTAAACATGTGCAGGTTTTTAGAAGAGACAAATTGTGTTGGGATGTGTATTAATCTCTGCAAAATGCCATCTCAATCGTTTATGAAGGACTCTTTTGGTATTCCAGTCAACATGGTCCCCAGTAAGTATCCTCACCAACTACTTTCATGAGCACAGATGCATGGTCAAACACGGTTCTAGTTTTGCAGACACCAATTTAATTAACTCTTTAAAAGTAAACACTAAACTTAGCAAAAGATACACAAGGACATCAAATTATTTATGTAAAGATTTTGAGCATCAATATAAAAAACATCAACTTAGTCATGCAATATATATTTAGACATCAATTTAATCCTTTAATTGAATATTATTTTATATGATAAAATACCAAATCAATGTTAAATATTTGAAAAATCAACTTTATGTACTTTATATCTTTCCAGGACCCATTTGAGCATGTACTCTTTAATTTGATTAGTTTATGCCGCAGAAACTTCTGTTTGGCATTATTATCGAACCCACTTTCGAGAGGCTTAATTTAATCTTTTATGCCATGAACTTGGTTTTAAGGAGGGCCGCAAAAAATTGAAAAGAAAAAAGAATACATTATTTATGTGTATGTTTCTTAAATTGGCAAAATTTGACCTGTGTGACCCAAAAACTATTCTAAATGGGAAAAGTACACACTCCAGCGTCATCAATTCAATGGAGGGGCCCACGCACATCCCACTTAGGGTGCCAAATTGCAAGTAGACCCGTCTAAACTCAGTTGAAGCTCGAAAATTCAAGAATACAGATAATTGGTACACACATTGCATGTTTTTCACAATGAAATTGACACCTTAATAATAGCCGTTTTGTAGATATGTTTCTCATGATCTCATTACAAAAATTATGAGTTCAGTACACCAAAGCATTGAAATTACATCATGATGACAGAATCAACATTATTTAACAGTCATTTCTGCATAAGCTAATTACTTGCTGAAAGCCTTTCAATGAGTAAATAAGTGAAGTTTCTACAATTATTAAATGATTGACTAGATCCAATTTAAAACTTAAATGAATTATAGATTTTGATTTTATATATACTTGTATCCTTTGATTTACAGATTTTGATGACATGAGTTGTGAGATGATATTTGGCCAGGAACCCCCAGCGTCAACTGATGATCCAGCACTCAAGCAACCATGCTATAAACTATGTAATAAATTTATTATGAGATTGCTTACATTCACTTACATGCCTCCAGATAATTGCTCTTGCTTAGAGACATGGTATTAAAAAATGGCAAACTTTTGTGAGGATAAGGACGAGAGTCAATTGTTCGTGGCCTTACCCTTATATTTTGGAAATAAGTTGTTTTTCACATTCGAACCTGTAATTTTTTTATCACAAGGAATATCTTTACCGCTGCTTTAAGCTCGTTCTTTTTATAGACACTATTGGCAGACCAAAACCAGATTTAGTGCAGTCTACCAAAGTGTAACGGTGGTTTAAGAAACTCAAAATATAATGTAAAAGGTAATAACTTATTCCAGAAAATAGAATGTAACTAATATTGTCTGTTTATATACCATGCAGGCAAGGCAAAGAAAAACCATGGAACGAATTGCCTCAGTTAATGCAGCAGGTATGGACAGAGTAATTTCAGTAACAGTTAAATAAATCTACTTTGATTCTTCTAGTGACCTACCAAGTTGTTCATCTGCAATTGCAGTAGAAAAGTGACACATATTAGTGACAATTACCCGATGAAATGAAAGAAGCATTAAAATTCGGAAAAAGCAAAAAACTGTTAAAATGTAATTCTTTTTCAGAATGGGATTAAGTAATTATTCAAACTGGAGCATTGGAAAATTCTTTACTGTCTGAGAGGATTGGATAGGGAATGACATCATCATCAGTGCCCTTTATTTCTGATGCAGAACCATTTAGTTTTAATTTTTGGTCTTAATTTTTGGTGAGAAGTGTGTTGACTGAAACTTGTTGTAGGCTTTCAGGTCAGCAAGGAAGGAACAAGAGTGTCTCCCACCTTATGTATGCTGCCAAAGGTGAGACTCACCAGCCATCGTTATTATCTCATTAGTAGAACCAATAAGTGCTCCAAAGCACTTTAAGCCAATTAGATTTCATTTTTAAGTGGATTTCCATCATTTCAATTATTTGTAAGTGGGCAAGGGAATATTTATATGGTAAGAAACAAACTCTTTCAAATGTTTCCCCTTCCTCCTGCTCTTTTGTTTTTTTGTTTTAACCCATATCATATATTGTTAGCTGAGGTGCGTCTAATTAGTGTGTTGAATCAGAGTGATGGAATTGGCATCCCTAATCTAATGGAACATCCCATATGCAAAGTGGGAGTCCTGTAATACGCCTCCTTCCCCGGTAAGATAAAGAATCAATTTAATTCAAAATTTTAAACTGTTAGGTGAAGTTCTTTTTAACGATTTATATTATTCTCTGACGTACGTATAAAAGTACGAGACAAGACCTTCTAATAATTTCACAAATTACCAAATCAATTTAACCAACCCTCCAAATATGTACGAACCAAGAAACTTGTGTCCTGTGTTTTCCATTATTCATTTGCTAAGAATAATAATAAAAAAAAGTACATCAATAGGAAATTCTAATATACCATCCAACGGTTACAAAGGAAACCGAACCTATTAACCTCAGTGTTCTCGGAGAGTATATATTCAATGTTAATGTTATAGGAGTAGATACTTTTTTACTAAAAAAAAAAAAAGATTAATGTGTCATTAATCATAAAGAAGTGGGTGAAATACATTAAGTTAAATGTGTTATTTTTTTTAATTTTAATAATAAAATATATTAAGTCTTCAATTTTTATTACGGAAGTATGATTGCATGAAAATGTTTTGTCGGAGGCCGAAGGAGGAGGAAGGAAAAGAAATCGCAAATTAACAATGGGCTTATATGTCACTTCAATTGGGCCCATCATGCACGTTAGTTCAATCAAGGTCCGCATGCCCTTTTGATAAGAGGCTCCGCAGATAATTCGGCCCAGTATTGTCTATTGTGGTTTTTTAAGTACATTAAAAATGCATTCACCTCAAAGATACCGAATCAAATAGTTGAAACTTGCGGGTATATCTAAGTTCTAACGACATCGTTACATTCAAGTCTCAAACTACTTGAGCTGGATAACCTACGTGGCCTATTTCTACAATCCTTAATTTCTGAACACTGTATTCATAACGGTAGAGATAAATGACTGGGAAAAGAATCTAATTGCATGTTTGGTTTTTTTTTTTTTTTTTCCAAAGGTTCTTTTACTAAGATTTTGATTATAAATTTAAATTTAGAATAAACTAATATAAATTTAAACTGATTTTAGACATCATTGTTACACTCGAATTTTAAGAAGACTTGAGCTGTACAACCTAATGGGGCTATTTCTATAAACCATGATTTCTATTTGAAAGCTCAGTTAAATGATCTCACTCCATGACCGTAAAAAAAAAAAAAAAAAAATCCTTCACACTAAGTAAACAAAGCCCTTGTCATTGTTTCTTCAATTGTTGCCCCACATTAATTTTTCTTACATTGTGGCCATCCTCACATTCTTACGAAAAAAAAATCATTTATCAAATATGACATTGACCATTGATGTGTATAGACTAGGAACAACAAAGCAATGTTCGCAAGTGCTGCCCAATAACCAAGTTCATATTGGCAAGTTCATTTATCATATGACAAAGGACCCCAAAAAAGGAGACAAGGCCTGAGCCAATAGCCATGACAACCAGCGAAGACAAAGAATGGACAGATTTAATGAGTTACTGAGCGGGGGCATGTGCTTGCCAGTTCACTCATCCACATCTCTTTAACACATGCATGGTTAAGTTTGTGCCCTTTTGGGATAACAAACGAACCCCTATCTTCCTCTTGTTTAAGAGTTCAGTTTCTTTCAGTCCTAAAGATAGATAAGATAGATACCTCTACTTAGGAACCCTACCACATAAAGATGAAGTTGAAAAATGAAAGTCAAGACAGAAGAGTACCTTAATCCTTGGATTTGGTTAGGAATGGCAAATTAAGACCAATGGTGGAGTCAGGGAGCGGCTAAGTGGGTGATCGCCCTCCTAAATTCATTAAATATTTATTTTGAATTATATTCACACTTAAAAAGTGTTGGGTCCATGGCCTATGATGGATCTAGCCCAAATTGATGATGCACTAATTTGTTATTTATAAGATATGCTTAGATGCTGAGCTGTCATAGAGAGAAGAAAAAGAAAAGAAAAACGAGCAGAAAAGCACAAGCGAGAGATGAAGATTCTTTGAAGAAGAAACTGAGCGCCATCGGTGAAGAAGAAGACTATCGTGTAGAGTAGGATTTCATTTCCCTTTTACAGAGAGAAACACTCGTGTGAGTTGCTTGAGAGTAAATTCATTTTTTAGAGGGTGAAGTCCCATTATTCACTTTTCTTATTGAGTCAGAGTGAATCTTGTGTAATCTCATTATTTATATTGAAGTTTTTTTAGACTTGGTCTCGTGATTTTTACTCTTCACATCGAAGTTTTCCACGGTAAAATTTTTGGTGTTCTTTATTCTTTCTTTATCTTTGTTTGTTTGATTTTTGATTTATTATTCATCAATGTTTCGGCATCTGAAGAAGGCCGGGCTAATTGATACCTAGGTTCAGAATAGCCAGGCTCCGTGACGCAACAAAAAGAAAGCTAATGTAATATAAGTTTGTCCCTTTGTTCTTAGGGTTCGTCGGTTCTCCTTTCAATGCTAATGAGAAAAGTTGCAGCAAATTTTTAACACTAGGATACGTGGTCGTATCCTGGCCTAAAAAAAAAAACATCAGGATCCGCACGCGTATTCTGAAAAAAATAAGTGTTGCTGCATTTTTTCCCATCTGCAGTGATATGAGAGCTACATTAAGACAAAGAAACTTGAGAATTCTTCAAATTTGTCTACGTATAGCTATGTTATCCCGTCTAGCTTGGTGTGAATTTTGAATTCTTCTTTCTCACAAATTTTCTCACTCATCCATTAAGACAAAGGCGGGATTGGAAGACGAAGATTGATATGGGCTAAGAGACTTATTAAAGAAAAAAATAAATAAAAGAAAAGGATAAGCTCAAGGCCCACGTAACCCCACAAAAAAAAAGTTCGAGATGTCTGGTACTGGGTGCTGCTTAGGTTGCTCCCAACATGTCATAGCCCCACCAAGCCTGAACCTTTGCAGCATAATAATATTATGGACATTTCATGGTCAAGGGCTTGCAATGCACATGACCAAATGCAGAAACGTATACATTCAAAAGTTGTACCAACCATAGCCCTATAATTGAGGAAAGAAAAAGAAAAAGGAAAAAGAGGGGGGATCATAGCATAGCACTACGAATTATTATTGGATCTGCATCATGTCCTTGTTCTCATACTACATTTGAAGAACGGACGAGAGAGGTTGGATGAAACGTTGCCATCAAGTGGTTAATGTGACTGTCCTGTAACTAATTAAGGAACCAATTAGGCAACTATGGGCCAATTAGTACTTGCTCCATTCAACGGTTTTTCGTCATGTTTACATAAATGGACAGACATTTGGATTAATAATCATGTCTTAAGGGATTAAAAATAGAAGTATCAAATAAAGGAGAACAAAAAGAATGGAAGCATAAATCAAGATATTATGTGTATTGATACATATACATTACTCATTTTCGGATGTCACATTTTCATCATGACTGACTAATATAAAATACCTAACCATGTGCAATTGCAGTGGAGTCATGTCATTTCAAAGGCTGCTTGTGATGTATCACGAGAGAAAATTTGAACACGTGGCAGACTTGGTTAAGGAAGACAAGGAGAGTAGATACTGTTGAGACTTAGACACAAAGGACCCAGATTCTTGATAGGCATAGGCATTTCCCAACGGGAAATATAGTCATTATTAAACCATATTCATACGGTCCCGAAACTGGACAAAACCAACTTAATAAGCGTGTCTCCGGGTTGCTTCTATAATTTCAAAACAAGTGTGATGTCCATCAAGCCAATAACAGATTTTTTTCAATTTTCGTCATCGCTTGTCAGAAATAAAAGGGGAGTACTGATACCGAGTTCGGAACTGACGGGGTAAGTCTTTGCATGATTGGCAGCTTATCAATCATATTATTGAGTTACAAGGTAAGCTGTCTCTTTTATAGCCGGTAAAATATTTCTTAGACAAATTTCTTGAATGAATTGAATCTTCGCATCTATTTTTATGTTCCAATATGCTTTCCTTTTTATTTTGTATAATCTATAATCTGTTTTGTTTAAAATGTCCTATTACATTATTTATAAGTATGTGCTTGTAAATGTGGTGAAAGTAACAAAAAAGAAAGAAAAAACATTTCATAGAAGTTTATGAATTGTAAATTTTTAAAACATCTTATACAATAATACTTCAAAGATAAAATGGGAAACCGAAAGAAGTTTTAAGTTGTTGCATGAGTCGGGTGTAATTTTCAATTTATACAGAAAACCAATTCTTATGTCGCTTAAAGTTGGCCCCTCAAGGTCCAAAAGAGCGCACGCTATTTTTAATCAGTGGGATAGCTGTTCCACTACACTATTGTAGCCTTGTAGGACCTCTTGCTTGCCAAGATTAAGGGGAAAAAACCATTTATTCATTAGCAATCTCATAGTTACACAACCTCCTGATACTCACGAGTAGCAGGACGATATCCACGCGTTTTATATTGGCCTGAAATTCAAACAAGCATTCTTAAGGCTTTTGATGTTTCTGGTCCGTGGTAGTTTGCCGATTGGAATTAGTTGGTAACAGAAATGATTACACAAAAAAACTGATTCATTATGTCTGATATCCTCACCCTACGCATTGCATTGCAACGCAACATTTCTCTCCTTCTAAACCACCAACAACTGACACCACCACAGATAATAACAATCCAACACTTCATCTCTACATTGACAGAAAGTAATGGTCAGATTTGCCTAGATTTCAGATTTTAAATTCCTAATTTCGACATTAACAAAAGTAAAAGTAAAATCATTAAAAAGTAAGGGGAAAAGAAAAAGCGCGCGAAAATTTAAACAAAGCGTGCGACTCTTTTTTTTTCTCTGCTTTTTTTTTTTTTTTTAATTTTTAATTTTTCTCTTTTTCTTTTGACGTTTGTGATTGGAATTCAAAAGAGCAGCTTCCTACGAGGAACGGATAATGTGTTACATTTAGGGGCACATGAGGCGAGTTCTCGAATGGTTTCACCAATGAGATCTTTGAACACGAGGCGTTCGATGTCCAAAACGACATCACCCATCTCCATTGTCCATTCACCCCAACCACTCATCTCTTCCGCCATGTCCTTCCTCAACACGCCACATATCACCTTAAACAAGTCCTCCGATTCCGATTCCGATTCCTCCCTCTCTCGGATCCTCCGAAACTCCGACCACACGTGCTGCGTCTGCTCGCCGCATGACACCACCTTCCACGGCGGTAACTGTTGGTTCCGGTTCAGGATCTCCTGGAGGGTGTCGAAAATCAACCGCCTCTTCAGCCTCGAAGGTTCTGAGGTGTCCATCCCCTTCAGACACTGGTGCTTCTCCAGCAACAAGAAAACGTCGCTGTCTTCCGGCAAGTAACTACATGCACGCAGGATCTCCGACACGTAAACGAAATCACAATCCTCCGATGCTGCCTCCTCGGATTTGCCTTCACTGCTACACAAAGCTGCACTCCACGTATCATCTTCTGACTCCGCCCCTTGATCTGCGTAATGTAATGTCACCATATTCTTTATCAGAGCTAAGAAACACAAGCTTTATGTTATTTATTTATTTAAAAATAAACAGTATATTAATATAAAATCGGTGCGAACTCAGTCTCACGTGATTGTACGAGGGGGAGTGAATGAACAAACGCGACTTATGCCACGTCACCATCCCTAGTATCAAATGATTGGTCCACGTAGGTTGGGATTTAACAGAGGGAGAGAAAGAACAAACCGTTCACTGTTTTCACACTCGTGATTGGAAAGCAGAGATAAAGAAAGGGAGTTGCTTAAAACTTAAAAGGCCTAAACAATCACCGCATAAATCAATTTATTTTCTAACTAACAATAATATCGCAGGCTAAGAAAGTTGTTAAGTTGAATAGTCAATCATTGACTATATAGTATTCACTCACCTTTGTAATCAATGCACCGTTTGGTTATTGGGGAAGGTGAACACCAATCGTCCTTGTAAAATGATGAGTCAAGTACCGATACAGGACTCGGTTGTTGCAACTCGTTCCCTGCTGTTATTTCCGCAATGCTGTTAAGCAACTTATCACACCTATCAAGCAGATTCCTCCCTTCCTTGTACTCTTCCGGCTTGTATCTCTGTGGACCACACACAATTCAATCAATCACAGCACCATTTCCATAAATAGAAGCGATTAATTAAATAATTTGTTAAAGAAATTAACGGTAGTAAGATAGATACCTCTGTATCGGTATGTGAAGAGGTGCTGAAGCTATTCTCTGAAATGGTGGAAGATTCATCCTCTGCTCCATTCAACATCTTAACTTTCTCCTTCACCTCTTTACGATCAATCGCTTTTCTCGCCCTGGGCGATCCATTCGTCACTTGCTGAACCGCTGCATTCCCTCTCGAGCTTATCTTTGGGGAATGAACCGGAGACACCCTTCTCGAATCAACACCGTCACTGTTCACTTTCCTCTGAGTCTCCGTGTTTTGAACCTTCCTCGAGTTTCTGCCTCTGGTTTGAGTTCTAATACTTCGATCAGTCTCACTGGCAAGGCTCGGGCTCCGGCGAGCGCGAGGACTGGACCGGAGGCTGGAGGGAGGAGGTGAAGAATAATTATTCCCGGTTCGGTTCAACGAACCGGAAGATCTAACCGGCTTCATGATAACAATGGGAGATTGGTTGGAATGTAACAGACCCTTAAGCTGCAGAGCCTCCAAGATATGCTTGAGAGTGTGAGGATCCTTGGGAGGCTCTTGAATCCCTCGTATCCTCAACCTCCTCTCAATCTCTCCGTACATTGAAACGGTGTGCTTCGGCTCGGGGAAGAAATCAGCAGAGTCATAGAAACTCTTCTTCTTTTGTGCTATTATTCCTCTCTGCCTCAAAGGAAGGGAAGCTCTGGTTGCTTCTGTTTGATCCATGGCTCTGTCATTGGACAACCGATTATTGAAAGTGCCAGCATTATTCTCACGCGCTACATTACTAGCCTGGGTTTTTGTTTTCGCCTGTAACTGCTTCAACTGAAAGTTGTTAGAGTCGAAGAACCGACACTGTGGCAGATCTCTGGGGACCCTGGACTCCGACTCGGACGCGGATCTTCGGAGCTTCGCAACCGGGTCAGGATCCGAATCCGGTAGTGTGTCCAGGCCCATAAGCCTGACAATAACGCTTGTGGAACGACGCTGTTTGTCTCCGTCGTTTTCTGCTCCGAGATTCGTTGCTGTTGCTGTTGCCGTGTTGGTTCGGATCTCTCTCGGGTGAAGTGCTCCTTTGGCATCCACGACGGCTCTGCTATCGAGAGAGAGTCTGGGAGCCTCTCTGGAGAACTTCCACGAAGACCTCGTGCCTTCCTTGAACTCCAGAACAGGAAGAGTCACCTTTGCTTCAGGTTGGGCCTCTCTCGCCGGAGAAGGCGTTGAAATCGCCGGAGATCCAATGTGTTTCTCCGGTTCCGGCGAGGAATCCGATGCCTGCAAAATACAACAACGGCGAGGTTAGTTAGAGTAACGAACGAAAGAGGAATTGGAGAAAGGAAAGGGAAATGAAGAATTACGGGAGGGAGTCTGAGTCTTTTGGCTGAGTGGATGCGTTTTCCGGTGAGTATTTGGTGGCGATCGAAGATCTGAAGGAACCCTGACATGCACCCCATTTGCTTCTGCATCTGTTTTTCCAAGTTCTGGTCGCGTACTATACCAGTCGTCATTTTCTAAAAATTGAAAAATAAAAATGAAAATAAAAATAAAAATATTTGGCTCGTTCTGTCACTCTCTCTTTCTTTGCCTTAGTGTTGATTGTGAAGGCTTCTTCATTCTCTCTCGCTCGCTCTCTCTCTCCCTCAACTGAGATTGATACTTTTATCTCCCACTCCCGCTTTTCTGGTCTTTAAAAGGTGAGAGCGCAATTAAACGCCAATGAAGGAGAGAGCCAAAGGAAATATTTACCCTTCACTTTTGTCAAAAATGCCTAATGTATCCTCCCTTTTAAATATCCTTTTAAATAACCTAGATAATGTTGTGAATTAATTTTTTCCTTTTTTTTCGCTTGATGTATTGCATCTCATACCAATACAAAATTATTTTTACTAACTTAAATAGTCAATGACCATCAAAGTATGATAACAAATATCAACTCTGACAGAGATAAACATATAATATAACAGTTGTAAACTGAACTTTTCTTATTGGTAGAGATTAAAAGTTCCTATTGTATCCTCCCTTGTAAATATTCTTCACATGCTTAATATATATATATATATATATATATATATATATATATATATATATATATATATATATATATATATCAAATTACTTATTTTTATATATTTATTCTTATATGTAATTATTTTACACTTATTGTATTTGGCGAATATTCCTTTTTTTTTTTGTAAACTTTAGCGAATATTCTTTAATAGCTTTTTAGTTTTAAATAAAAATAATTATAAATAAAATTGAAATTAAATAAATTTTTGGCTTTAATGTAAATATGTCGTTTTGGATTGAAAAATTAAAAAATTATAATGAAAAGACTATTATAATACTAAAATAAATTATAATTACAAACATACTTTAATTTTTGCCTCAAAACGACGTCATTTTGAGCTCAATGTAGATAAATTATCTACAAATTATCTACATTGACGGTAGAAAAAACGAACCCAATTTTTTTATATAATAATTCTCCGGCAAATCTAAGCATGAAATTTAAACTTCTGAATCAATTCTAATCTGAAAGAATTTCGTTACAAAAGTGTTTTACAAAAGAATTGGAACCAATTTCATATCCTAATTCTCTAGACTTCGTTTCGGTCAACCGTGCATATTTCGAATTATTCAGCAATTGTTAATGTCAATTTGATGGAATTTTAGTACAATTATTCTCTTATGTAAAGCAAAACATTATGCTGTATTAGAGAATTATTATTTCATAGGTCACATTTTGTTCTTTACATCAATTATGCATTTATTTAAATTGATTCATAAAAATATAATTCAATTGTGATAAATAAAAATCTTTTAGTTATTATTAATATTTATATATAATAAATTATTTTAGTAAAAATTAAAATAAAAGTAATTTGTTGTAAAATAATAAATCTTATTTTTGTAATAATAAATAAAAAATAAATTCATGTTAACAAATTGATAATATTTATATTTAATACCATTATCCGAGAATTAGGTCAGCACAGAAAACAGCGCGCCCACTTTAAAGTTTTATACACTTTACACTTAGATAGTCAAGGCTTTTTACTGTGAGGATCTGCAGCATAGCCACCGTGGGCAATGTTCTCTGCCTGCGTGTCAGGTACCAAGTGCCTTGATTTTTGAGCATTTGAACGATGACTGTTATTTCATCGAACCCCTATTCCCCATGTCCCCAAACGCCTTTAAGCCGTTCGATTGGTTCAAATCAAATGCCATATCCACGGATACTATCCACCCTCAACGGCAGCTTGCGTCACTGGATTAAAACTCCTTCGGGTATTGAGGAGGGAAAATAAAAACAGAGTTTTGGTCTAATAAATTAATAATCGATGTTGCCATGTGGCGAGATGGTATCCATAGATAAGGAATCATAGCCGTTAATCATGTAGACCTTACTGATCAGGTCAGACGGCAAAAGCATCAAAGCCATAACAAGCCAAACGCAAGTTCCTTTATTTCCACTTCCACTTACAATAATTCCATGCCTCATTGGCTAGTGTTCAACTTTATTGATCTCCTATTAATAAGTTATTTTTATGTATTTCCTTTTTTTTGGTAAATGCTTAGTTAGTCAAAGCATGCCCTGACCCAAGATGTGACAATCATTCCTGGGTTTTGTTAAAACTAGTATTATAAAAGAGCATGATAATAAGGCCAATTGGCAATTGGGAATGAAGATTTTAAGGTGAGAGTGAGAGATATTAGACAAGACCGTGAGCTTAATTAGGAACATAAGCTAAGGTCTCATTGAGTACAGTTTGCAGCCATAAAGGGCCAATACAGGGTTCTGTTTTGAACCTAAAATGGCTTGGCAATAGTTCTGTTCGGTGGCATATTCCTATTCCGTCACTTCTTTTTTCTTTATTCTTCTCTTTTTGCTTTGATAATTATCATGAGCCTCTTTTTAAAATATCAAGAAAAAAGAGAGTGGTGAAACAGTCATAGCATCACTGACACTAAACCAACAAGCTCGTGCTTGGAAAACTGAGGAAGAGTTTGGCCGTGGCTGGGGCTTTAGTTTTATAATTTTTGAAAACTATTTTCCCATTCTCTTTTCTTTTTTATTTAAATTTAAAAAGTTTAAAAGTGAGTTTGTGTGATTTATTTTTGTAATAAAGGAGTGATAAGGGGTGTGTAATTTTTATTTTTATCTTTTTCTGTATTAAGTATTTTTTTTCTTTGTAGCTAAACTTGAGAGTAAGTGGAGGTGTGAAAATATTTTGAACTATATAATTACTAATTTTATATTTTTCTTACTAAACGAGTCTAATAATCTTCTCAATTATTAATGAAAATTAAGTAAGAAATATTTTTCGTTTAATATAAAATCTTGTTGGGAGATTTATCTCGATATAATTTTCATTTAATATAATATTATATTTAAGATAAGAATATAGGAAATTTCAAAAACTGTATACGTTACTTATGTAAACTACCACTATTCTTTCTTCTATATATCCTAATGATAACTAATATTAACAAAATTATGAAAATAATAATAATTCCCATAATTAATTCATTGTACTAAAAATTCTCTCCCCGGATATTTTAGTTAAGAGAGCAATAAGTTAATAAGAGAAGTTGCCACTTTAAGAATATACACGAGTATAATATATTTGGCATGTCTTATTTTTAGCTTCTCTTATAATTAAAAACAAAAACTTAATCAAACATAATTTTATAAAAGTTTTTATTATAAAAGGAGTTTTTTATAATGATAAAAAGCTAAAAACTAAAAGCTCCTAAGAAAAGTTTTTTTAAGATGTATGCTAACTTTTTTGACTACTCATCTTTATTTCATAATTTTACTCTTATTTTAAACTTGTATTTATAAATTTTATCTTTTATCTTAATAACAAATTATTTCATCTTTCTTCCTCCAAAATCATCAGGATTGTTTTATATATATAATCACCAAATAATTTTTAGTTTTATTTTTTAAGTTTTATTTTTATAACTTTAGCTTAAAAGTAACTTTTAACTTAAAAAAGTATGTCAATGTGGCTCTAAGGGAAGGAATAAGAGGAATAATATATATTTTAATTTATAAGTTAAGAATTATAAAATAATTATAAAAATAAATAAATAATAGCCCAAAAAGTACATAACAATCTCTTTTATTTTTTGAAGAAATTAAATAGGTAGAGCATTTGCTTGAAATAAAATAATAGTCCCACATTTCTCTACGTTCGAGTTCTTCAATCTAAAACAATATTGAACAAAAAGGACAATTTTAACCTGTTTAATAGAATCAAAGGATAATATTCAAACCGGACACCTAAAATTGCATAATAGAGACAGTGCTCCCCGAACTCAAGGCAAATTTTTGAAAAAATAAAAATAAAAGAGAGAGATATATGAATTAAACATGACTTTTATGAAAGCCTAGACCGTAATAGATGCAAATGTCTAGTTGCAAATGATGTAGACACCATGAAAATTTGCTTAAATAATACTTGAGAGATTCATTTTCTCTCTCTTTATATTATGAAATGTATATCACTTTAATTATAAAGATAATAATAAGTCATATATATATATATATATATATATATATATATATATATATATATGAAAAAAATATTTCTCGAACAGCTTGAGATAAGTTTATCTCCGGCTATTTCAAAATTACGTCGTTTTGTTTATTTATTTTCTTCTATTAATTGATTCACCTTTGAATGGTTATGATTTCCTTTTTCTCTCTCTTACTTTATCCATCTTTGTACGGTTATGATTTAGTAGCCGAAAATAAGATTATCTCAAGCAGCTTGAGAAACGAAGATAGATAGATCAATAGTGATAAAGGAAGAGAGAGAAAAAGGAAATCATAACTATTCAAAGGTGAATAAATGAATATAAGGAAATAAATATACTAATTAAACGACGTAGTTTTGAGCTGACCGGAAATAAATATATCTCAAGCAACTTAAGAAATATTTTTCTCATATATATATATAGTGGTACACTTTCAAATTCTACAATAGTTTTAACTCAGAGCTATAAGGAAAAAAAGAAAAAGAAATAAAAGAACAAGAATACCTGATTGTGAATGAATGAGTCCGGATGGTTTAGGACATATGCCATTGAATGAAGTTAGGAGACCGAGAGGATCGAAATAAAAACAAGTCAAGTTGGAGGAGTTATTTCACATTTTCACTGCTGTCCTCGTCACAATTATATATGATCTGTTGCCTATTCATAACAATTGATCCAGCTACAACTAGAAAATGATAGCTCAAGTCCTTATGGTACTCGTCACAATTATGAACCGAAGAATGAAGACTCAAGTGAGTTGTCTGGTACTATACTCTTAAATTTTGATGAAAGAAATTCAATATAATTAGACCACCGTATATACATTTATCTAGGGATTGGACCCGAAGCCTCTGACATCCATTGATGGCCTAACCATATATTCCGTTATCACCAAGAGTTTTTAATTTGTTTGTTATGATTTCAGCTAGAGTTATATAAGTTCACATCTAACTTGTATCCA